ACTAGACAAGTGTATTAATGTAAGTGGAAAGTACTTTGAAGGGGATTGAAGGTTTGTGCTTAAAATTTGAATAAATAAGTTTAAAAAAAAATAAGTTCGGTTTCTTTTGGGTACCCCCTCGTATATGAAGCTCCTGTACCTGTAGGCATACGTTGCGGTCATGCCATATTGATCCTCATCTGTCCAATAATAATTTATCAGAACTTCCAAAAACGACTCATACTACATCATTTTTTTTAAATTTCTTTTATTTCGCTTATTGGGGGGTGGAGTCCAACTGGGTTCACTCGGCACGACGGCCACTGATTGGCCCATTGTACCTGCCCCCTTATGATTATGATGGAGAATTTGGAGGAATGAAGAAAGGCAGGGGAAACAGAAGTACTCTGAGAACACCTGCCCCAGCGCCACTTTGACCACCACAGATCTCACTTGACCAGACCCGGGATCGAACCCGGGCCGCCGCTGTGGGAAACCAGCGACTAACCGCTTGATCTATAGTGCGGCCAGATACTACATCATAGTAATGTGGTTATCTTATTCAAATCTGTGTGAAATATTCTGCTGAGTATGCTTTACGAAATAAAAAGGAAAAATTATCCATTATACCATTCTCTGTGGTGTAGTATCTATTATCGACTACTTTTAACTAATAAACAGATCAGATCTAAACCCTCCTTTAGGAGCCAGTAGATAGTTGACCAAAAATACTCGAAATTCACAGAACCCACAATTTTATTACCATGTTCACAAGAGTGTCCCTTTCTTCAGCCAGATGAATCCAATCCGTGCACTCACTTTCCGCTTCTTCATGATATGTTTTAATTAAGCGTGTATTGATACGTGTTGTGACATGATGTCAGAAAGCCAGAATAGCGAAGACAGAATTGTGACTTTCACTGCTAGACAACGACTCGCTAAACACTTCCCCGCGGCAACGAATATGCAAGCAACAATCGAGTAACTTCCGTTGCTTTGCAGCGACACGGTAAACGCGCCTTCCCTAAAATACAGGCTGTGTTTTCTGCGTCGTCCGTACAAAATAGTTGTAAAAAGGGTTCCGAATTTGTCAGTTGCACCATAGAACAGTGTCGAGTTTCGAGACGCCAGCCTGCCGGGATACGAGCTTGGGTGCAGAGGAAATGAATTGAGTCGAGTCTTCAGAATTGGCAGCTGCAGAATAATGGCAAGAAAGGAGTTAGGTTACGAAATGAAGACTTTATGTGTGATTTGAAGTGACAGTGAAATTGTTATAAATCCGTTGCCAGGATAAGACTAGTGAAGACTGAGAATCCTTACATACAGACACACACTCGTATATGACCACACCACAGCGTTCTTTAGTTCTGTAATTCTAAGGTTTACGTTAGACTATTTCGGAATTTATTTGTGCTTTTTCTGTTTCTTGCTCGCTCGGTACTTGCATGCTACAGCCTCCTCACTATTGTTGTTATTACTACCAACACTGCTGCTGCTACTACTACAACCGTCACCATCATTACAGTGAGTACTAGCGGCATGTTATCTTCAGTTATGTGCATAAAACTCGTTCGGTTACGAAAGTGTCTTACGTGAATACCGCATGCACCAGTGTCACGATAAGTGCCCAGCCAGCCACTACTCCTTTGGCTGGATTTTGGACGGAGGAACCATTTGAAGAATATTGCACAAATTTTTATGAATAATATCAGTAACATAGAGTTTTATTGAAATATACTTCTTAAATAAATAATTTAATTTAATTATTATATCATAGACTTTGTTCTGTGTCTGCTCTTCAGGAAAAAATTGTCCCTTTGCTAGATGCGCTGCAGCTACTGATATCTGTAGGAACGCTGACTTACTTGGAAACAAAACTAACTTATTAAAGTTCTAAGTGTAGACATTACGCTCGTATGTGTATATAAAACTCCGTGGCTTTAGTCCGCAAGCGAACTATGCCGACAGAGCGACCGCCGCTTGTCGGCGATGTTAGTGCCAACTTTAGCGGATAGAGTGTGTCGCGTGGTCAGCGTGACAAATCCCCACGGCCGTTAATTTTCGGTTTTCTAGACCGGAGCCGCTATTTCCTTGAAATAGCTCCTCAATTATCCTCACGAAGGTGGTGGACCCCGTTCCAGACCCACTACTTCTCAGAATATATGGTAGCGCCTGGTATCGAACCCGGGACTTCTGGATCTGTACCCAGGAACACTGACTACTAAACTACAGAGGTGGTCCTTATGTATGTGCGTGTGTGTGTATATATATATATGTACATATATATAAGGTTTGTACGTTTGTACTTATTTAATTTGTTTTATTGTCAAAATGACAAAAGTTGCCTTGATTTGCCTCTCGAAATTTGTTTATGTGTTTCAATCTTTGCTCATGCTTGCTGTTTATTGGTCCTTGGGCTATAAGCACGTAAATAAATAAAGAATCCTTATAATTATTGCATTAAAGACCTTGGAGTTTTTCTTCGCTGCACACTGTACTTCTATCAGCATATTGAATATTGTGTTGTCAAAATGTTAGACCCCATACGAAACATATTTTTCCTTGGCACTACAACCCCAGTGGGCCTAGGCCTACCTCCATGAACTTCTCCGTTCACTTCGGTTTTTCTAGATCTTACAAATTCGGTAGGACTCCTTGGGCGGGTGATCAGCTCGTCGCAAGGCCTCTACCTGTACACAAACACAGAAAAACGCACACACACACAAACTAAACAGTCATGCCCTGAGTGGGAATACGAAACATTACTTTCTCCTTTTCTTTAGTAGATAGTTTTTTGTGCTTTACATCGAACTAGTCAGAACGAAATATGAATAGATTTCTGCTATCTGGAATTCTCCTGCCTACACAAGTTCCAGCAAATTGGAACGTGTCAAGAGAAAGTTTTGTACATTACATTGCAACAGATTATTTAGAAATCGAGATTCATACAGTTATGATTATGTTTTGGATAACTTAAAACTGAGACGATGTCATTGTGAGGCATTATTTACAAGAAATATTTATAACGGCTTTTTCTATGCCCTAAACATGTTTGTAGCAGAGTTACATTCATAAACATTATAAATATTAATTGATGAATTTTGTACTTAGTTTTCACGTAACAAATATCACTTTCTTCTCTGCGCTTCAGCAAGAATATCAATATCTGTGACCACTGTTTCTTTAGTATGATTATTTTGGTTAATTTTGTTACATTCATTGTCATTATGAACATATGCTTATCCTGCGTCTAGTATGCAGTAAAATGTCTGATATGTATTGTGGTGTATTTGCTCAAAGCAAGAACGGTGAAGGCAGAGAAACAGCCGTTGCTAGGTAATGCCCGCACACGATACGTGACGGGTACAGCCGTTGCTATGTAGCTCCCGCAGCATATCCGTGCGCGGTGACGTCACACAACAATAGTAGTGGTGTCACGATGTGCGACGTGACGCGTACAGTCGTTGCTATGGAACAATTAAGTAAAAGAATACACGCGACAATAGAATAGCTGAGTTTTCTATGTGGTCCGTGCCTATGGATCATAAAAATGACAACGAAGGTCGTTTGAATCAGCTGAGTTCCTGATTTAGCAGTTGGCAGAATAATTGATAAGAAATAACAAGAAAGGTATTAGGCTGTGAACAGAAGACTTCATTGCGTGCTGCAGTGACAGTGAAGTTGTTATAATTCCGTTGCGAGGTTACAACTAGCGTCGTAGTAATTTATAAAATGTGTAGATCAGCGATAGCGATGCACTGCCTATATTTCAGAGTGGAATGTATAAGGTGTGAATAAACCCAATCAACTAACTGCAAACCCGTCTAATAGTCACAACCCTAAATACGTCACAGCAGGTATCTGTCCCCCATATCTGTATTGTTTCCTTTACTTTTTGTTTGTTTGATTATACTAACTTTGTTAATTGGCTTGGGAGTTAAGAAATATAAAGAACTGAACTGAATTATTATTAGCACCATCAACATCACTGAAACCTAAACAAGAAAAACAAAAATGTAAGTTTTGAGGTTTTCACGGCGATGACAATGAAGAAAGTTGTCTTCTGGGTTTAGGCACNCGAGCTGATCACCCTCCCAGGGAGTCCTACCGAATGTCTTAAGATCTAGTAAACCGAAGTGAAACGGAGAGTTTCATGAAAGTAGGCCAAGGCCAAAATTGAGGCTGTAGCGCGAAAGGAAATAATCCCCTTTTAAATCTCGTTTCTACCAATTTTCTGTCATAGATAATATGAATCGAACTTACTGTAATGAGGTCATGTGATAGGTACTTACAAGCTCCTCAACCTTAGAGGCATTCTCTACGTCCGTGTTGTAATTCCAGGCTGCTAAGTTATAATCTCTACACTTCTGCGATGCAGATGTCTCATATTGTTCCAGAATCTCTATCATTTCATCTTCTGTAACTCTGGTGTTCGGACGAGGAAGAGAAAATGCTGATTTGATCACAAAGAGCAGGCACAAGACACCGAACAAGCGCGCCATATTTCTTTTTCACAGACAAACCATCTGCCACGTTAAAAGCAGACTGTGCCTTATAAGATCGCTACATTCTATTGTTACTGATTCATATCAGAAGAAATACCTTCATGCGATGACGGAGTAATGACATAGCAATATTGATAAGATACGAAGACAATAAATAATTTCAAGTGCGTGAAATCGTAAAATGATTTATTTGAATTATGAATAGAAAGTTTCCAGTGAAATGGAACACAGTACAACATCCAGTCTCTTCATAAACTTAAGGGCGGTGATGGATAAGTATGAGGCAATGATGGACTAATAATTGGAAGGGGAAATACTTCTTAATGACAGTTGAACCTACCACTTTGCCACTGTTGAGAATCGAAGTAATATTCGTAAAAGTAAAAGTAACGCTATCCCTGTAACAGGCCGTGGAGGAGCATAGGGTTGTGAGATGCTGAGGTTCCCACATTTTCTAGACAATCGGCTCACAGATGGCGGTGTGTTTGTCAGCCTTACGCGCCGGCCGCCCTTTACCCCCAGGAATATTCCTGGTACTCATTTCTGTTGGAGGCTGAGTCGACAGTAGTAAGGCCTCTAACTAGTAACTGAGGTTGTGTTATACTCGTACATGTACATTATATTGTACCATATTCTGCGAGGGAGAACCGGAAAGAAGCGGGAGTTGTAGTTCATCGTTATATGAAAATTTTCAATTGAAGACCTCGGTACAGTAGAGAGTCAAGTTACTTCAGTTTTCAAAATTTGCGTTTTGTGTTATTTAGAAGAAAACATTTCTGTGTTCTAGAAATTATGTAATGGTCAGGAACTTGTTACTACTTACATCATCTCTGATTCCGTATTTACACGAATATTTAAAAATATTTTTCTTCCCTTTGTATAATTTTCACGTCTCAGACTCAACCGGTTTCTTTTCTTGCGTCGTGATCTTCAGTTAATACCACAGCGCATGCTCAGTGGAAGTGCTTATTAAGATCTCAAAGTTCGTGACTGTTGTATATTACTAAAATGATTGATAGTCTGGACATTATACATGTTCAGAATTGTTATTAAAATGAAGTTTCGATGACGTGAATCTATTTCCTCAGGTAAAAAGCCTACTAAGATCCATCAGCAGAGAACCTTCAACTAGTGCTGAAGTCAAGAATACGTGGATCTATACATCCGCTCCTCCATGTCTTCAGGGCGTAGTGCTTAATTAATTAAGCACAGGGGCAACTTTACTTTTTTACTCCCAAATTCAGGATATTTACCTGAGGACGGAGGCAGAGTCAGTCAGTGAAACGTCTTTTAATAACAATGTAAACGATTGATATGTTCAGAAAATAAACCATTGAAGTGCTTATTCTTGAAATACAACATTTACTTCTGCGCAGAATACGCTTGATTATACAGGTTGATTCTAAATTACTGTCGGTGTTTCCGTTGCCTATAAACGGAAACATCAACAATAATTTAGAATCATTCTGTATATTATGGGCTGCATGTAAGTTTTAGTTAAGATCGAGCGAGATGAAAGACAAAGCTAGACCGAGGGATTAAGGCTTTTGTTTCCTGTACTGGAGCGACGGGCATCTACCTACACATGACTACATTAAAAACACTAACATATGTCATGCTGGGATCGCAATTCGAACTCGTTATCCCAGTGTTGAACCAGTCCGAGTGTGTACGCGACTAAGACTGCGGAGGAACAGGTTTGTCTAGAGGTAACGCTCTAGAAACATTTGGGCTATGCTGGGTTCGGATCTGTGCCGGGGCAACGCCTATCCTGACTAAGATGTTCGTAGTTTTCCTCAGTCTCTCCAGGCGAATGCCAGAGAATTTATATTGGATCCTTTAAAATATTTTCTGAATCAACATTTACCCATCATCATACCACGTGACGTTATGCACTATCGACTCTGAGAGAATGTAGTTAAGTAAAGCACAGAAAGTAAGCACTAATTGCGTGGCCACTACGGTGTAAAACTCTTTATGTTTATTGCGTTAAATATTTCTGAAACAAGTAAAAAATATTACGAGTACTTTTATGTAAAATTTCTGTTTTCCCATACGTTTTATGAACTGATTTTTTCGAGATAATTGATACGGTTATAATGAACATACTGAAATAGTACAGTAAATTTAAATGTCACATCGGAAGAGGACAATTATGGAAGTGATACTATATACTAGCCTGATATATATCAGATATTTTCTTTACATCCATCTTAATCCCATACACAGTCCGTAGGACTCCTTGGACGGGGGATCAGCCCGTCACAAAGCCGCGACCTACACACAGGACAACACTAACAGAATAAGCGCACGTAGTCATCCATGCCTTGAGTGGGATTTGAATCCTCGATCCCAGTGTTCGAGCGAGCGAAGACGGTTCATGCCTTAGACCGCGCGGCCACTGTGAGCGGCATCTCAGATATACATGCGTCTAAGTTGGTTACTGTGTAGGAGTTCTGGGGCCGAAAACCGGGTTGGATATTACAAAATCCGTAAGTACTGGAACATATTTCTGTGTAAATTTAATCTGATGCACGCTGCGGTTTGCGGTACTGTATATCTGAGACGAATTCGAACTAGCTGCTCAGGGTTGCATAACAACACCTGAGTACTACGGAGCAGGTATATTTCAACTCGGGTATCTGTGTACAAATGTAAGTCAATAAGGCCATGACGTTGCAGGGTGACCGACTTGGCACACTTCAGAAACCCGCTTCGTGAGTGTTGTTATGAATACCTTTGGCATTCAGCATGCCTTGTCAAGGGAAATTTTGTTTATTGATACTGACTGCAATAGAGTCCTATGGCTCTACAGCCCTTTGTTGGACCTTGGCCGCTTTTTCAGTTCTAGACCCTATACACAGTCGGTAGGACGCCTTGGACGGAGGATCAGCCCATCGCAAGCTCGCTACCTACGCACAGAACAGCACAAGTATAGAATAAACGCATAGAGACATCCATGCCTCGAGTGGGATTGCAACCCACGACCCCATGTTCGAGCGGGCCACGGGGATCAGCTCAATACAGACCTACGTTCAAGTAAATATGCGCCTGTAGCTTCACAGGCAAGAAGAAGAATAGATACAAAACATTACGGTGACATGTGCCATCTGCTAATTTTGATTTAATTGGGGAAGTAACGTGTATGAGTGAGGTACAACTATATGTTTATTTTCAGTATATATTATTATCAGGGCCAGGATTTTGATGACCTGAAAATATTTAAAAAATGACCTATAAAATGACCGAAAAATCCAGAAAAATTACCTAAAGAAGAAAAGAAAGAACACTTCGCTTCCATGTTATTCACATTTCAGAAAACATATGAAGAAAAATTCCCTAAAATGGCCAAAAATGAAAAGAAATACTATTAAAAGCCCAAAAATTTACCAAAACGTTACCCCCAAAATGAAAAAAATAACCTTAAACCTAAAAATGTCAAAAAAATGACAAAAATTACCTATAAAATTTACATTTCTGTAACCAGCAACTCATATCCGAGATTTATATATTTAAGAGCATCACATAGGATACAAGGAAAAAAAGATGACATGTCATCAAAATCCGGGCCCTGATTATTATATAGCATGATAGCTGGGCTGGACGGGCTTGATTTCCGAGGGTTCAGAGTTCGAGTGCCAGTAAGGTCAAGAATTTTCTCCTCTCCACGTCGTCCAGACCGGCTCTGGAGTCCACCCATCCTCCTATTAAATGGGTACTGGGGGCTCTTTCCACGGGGGTGGAGTAAAGCGGCCGGATCGAGAAACTGACCACTCACTTCCATCTAGTGTCAAGAAAGTGTAGATCTATACATCCACTCCCCCATATGCCTTCATGACGTAGTGCTTAATTAGTTAAGCACAGGGACAGTTTTTTTAATAAAAATTGCTTCCTCACATTATCCTTGTCAAAAATTATTTAAACCCTTACGAAAAAGAAAATACAAAATGAAAACCTGTGCTCTCTTTGACTTAAAACTTAGTTCACAAAACGGTGACATAACCTAAATATTTCGCATCATCATATCAGAATCAATTTCAAAATTCGCATTTCTGTTACGTTACCACAACCTTTTGACTAGTACTGTTGTTGCTCCACTTTTACCGTGTGTCACACCGCCATCTGTTAGCGAGCTGTGTATGTATAAACAATTGTAGGAGTGCGTGGTATATACCCCGCGGACTTTCCTTTCCTGTGTCGCATTCTGAAAACATAACGTCAATAAGGCAGTTTTCCATCAAACTGTGGACTCACTCATACACGTAGGCCCTCGGAGTTTTACATTTCAACATTTATTAAGTGGATGTTTATAAAAGATATTTTAATTGTGAAAATTGATCAACTCTTGTTGCAGATTCATAAATATGTATCTATCCATTGAACCGCCTGAGGATCAGTAGACTGAAACATGTCATGGTGAAAGAAACAATAAAGTTGATATCATTTTATTCATCTTACTACAGTTTTATCCAGCCAGTGGAGTGAGTGAGTTAGAGGACCGCTGCGATAGATCGTTGAGAGTTGTTGCTGTTAGACGCTGGTAGCTGAGGCCGGGGACAGATCGGGAATCCAGAGGCAGGGGGACGTGCGTCGTTGGAAACCACTATGAAGCAACGGCTAGCGAAGACTGTAACAGACTGAGAAGTCATAGTGCGTTCTATAGTAATTTATGAAGTGTGTAGAACAGTGAGCGCATAATTTGGACCTACAAGATGAAGTAGCAGAAGGCTGGATAAATGTACGTAATTATGAGTTTTACATTTTATACTGTTCGCCAGATATTATTAGAATGATCAAATCAAGGAGGATGAGCTGTTGAGGGTTTGTAGCAAACAAGGGAGAGACGTGCACATTAAGTTTTATTAGGAAACCGGAAGGAAATAGACAACTAGTAAGACCTAAGCATAGAGGGAGTAATAGTGAAATTGATCATAAATAAATAGGGTGGGCAGGTTTGGATTGGATTCATAGTGTCACTTATCCTGATAATGCGACAA